GCACGGCTCACCGGCGTTTTGCTCATCGTTACGGACCCCCCGCGGCAGCAGCCGCTGGTTTATAATAAAACAATACACACCACTCTCAATAAAGGTTGCAAATTTATTACAATTTTCAATAAACATATCAAATATACCAAAACATTTACATTTATCAGATGCTTTTATCAAAAGGGACTTACAAATGAGAGCATTCAAATCAATTCACAATTGTTTGTATTTTTTTAATAGTTTTATTTTCAGATATAATATGTGAAACAAAACATATATTGCATACATAACATTACAAGCATTATTTTTCTTTTACAAAAGCAAAAGTATATAGCAAAAAAAGATAAGGAAATAAAGAAAAAAACATGCAACTCAGGAATCATCTATTTAGCTGCAATAATTATTAATATAAAATCTAAAAAATATTGTATTTCCTTGCAACTAATTTGCAATAAGAGAAGGTAAATACTCCAGAAAATAATAATTTATTTTTGAATGATTTTGGTGATTTCCTAACCCTCCTGGGTGGCACCAGCCGTGGGGTGGGGTAAAAAAGAAAAAAGAAACACTGAAACTATGTCCAAACATGTTTAATGCATTAATGATCTCATTACAAATACAGAATTTTCTTCTTTATATACAAATAAAAATCTTATAAAATTTTGCAAACTCTCAATATATCTTTACCGTACTGTAATCACTTAAACTCATTGCAAGTCTGTAAACTCAAAAATCAAGCTCCTCTGCACCGTAGTCCAAGAGTTTCTCTTTCTCAGTTGGCCAGGAGTCATGATTAAAGATGTTGAAGCATCTCACTGCTGTAGGTGCTTGGCAGTAGGTGTTCTTCTATACTTATTCTGATGAGGTCCTCCACTGTGTCTGGGTTGAGACATGACCTCACATCAGAATTGACTTCTGTGCTGAAAAGCCCCTCTCACACACAGGGAGCACCAACATAATATGAACTAACTGAAGGATGTTCTAAAGAAGAAGACAGATTAGATGGTTGTGAGAACAATGCTTTAAGTAACAGCATAACCGTGATTATTATAAAAAAAATAATGTAAATACTGTAGTCAGAGCAGTATGGTTCCTTAGACAACATGATGTCCCACAGTCCGAGGTAGCTCTTATCCATGAAAGAGACTGTGATCATTGTTTTCAGTGCCTGAAACTCCTCTTTAGCTAGATCTTGTTCACATCCATTCCTAAAAATAAAATGAGAGACAGTTAACACTGTGGCTAACACAACCCGATCAAGGCTATTCTTAAGAGATTGGCTCAGCTCCATAGAAGTTACCTTTCTAGGACAGGAGAGAAATGCTTTAGCAGAAAATCAAGCTCTTCTGCACCGTAGTCCAAGAGTTTCTCTTTCTCAGTTGGCCAGGAGTCATGATTAAAGATGTTGAAGCATTTCACTGCTGTAGGTGCTTGGCAGTAGGTGTTTCATGCATGCTTCCCACTGTGCCTGTCAGCACAAACAATAAAAAAATTAATAATGATAATAATTGTAATACTTTTGATACTGCAGAATGTCCAATAAAGAAAAACTTATTACCTAAAAGGCTACCAAATCTGTTTTGAAGGTGCTTAGTGGAATTCACAATATCTTTTACTCCCTGATGCAGTTGTGGAGATTTGATGTAGATGCTCTCATTTTCTGCCAGCACTGTGGCTTCACAATACGAAAGTGGGACATCCTGAAATTATAATATTAATTTACACTGATTATATAATCAAACAACAACACTTATTGTTTTATTATTATTAGCATATGTTACATTAAAAAAAACGGGATAACTACCTGAAACTTGTAGAATGGTACTTCTTTCTGTGTGTGCCATTCCTTGCTGCTGCATGGCTGTTACAAGTTGCTGGAGTCTTCCTCCTGGTTTACCCCCCGCTTGTGTCCAAGATTTACAGCTGCCCCATCTGCCCCCATGGCTACAGTTTTGTTCAGCCAATTTTTGCACTGTGGTCCTAGAGCAGTGAATGCCTCTTTTGCTGCTGCATAAATGCCTTAAATAAAAAACAACAAATTAGATTTTAATGTTGATATAAACAACATCATCAAGTAAATAAATTATTTTCATTATTTAACAGGGCTGCCAACTTTTGGTAATTGAATAATTTCATTGTGTTTTTATTAGGGAAAATCTTTTCATGATTTGGTTCATAAGCTTGAGTTATGATTACATCTCAATTCAATAAAGATTCATTTGGATAAATATCAGGTACAGTAATTTTTCTAAAGGAAATAAATCTCTCTTAATGCTGTAAACTATGCAGGGAACCCTGTTAGCTGGTATTATTATTAAAGGTTAAAACTATCAATTTATTGTATAAAATAGAAAGGTGATTTTTAAAATAATAAAAAAAATTATATATATTAAAAAATATTTAATATAACGCAACAGAGCGGACAGCCCCGATTTAATCTCTGATATTGAACTGTAAATTCCATTATCTTTACAATTAGTTTAGATTTCTTGAGCACTTACCTTGAGCATTGGCATGCTGAACCTCAACGTGCCCGATCAGGATGTTAACTGGTTTTCCCATTCTGATTAGCCGTGCATAAATAATCTGGCACTCCTTCATAGACACATCTGGGTCTCCATCAATCATGAACGATATAAATGGGGCTGAGGCAAGTTCATGCGCTGTCTTGCTTTTCATTGTGTCTGCAATGACACCGATGAATTGAGCGCATGCGGTGTCATTTGCGTACGTTGGATTGATGGAAATTCCGTTTTTCTTTTGAAGAATTATCTCGGACCTAAACTTTGTGAAGGGCATCTCGCTTTTTGCAATATGATAAGCCGTGTTGAACTTTGCCAAAAGTTCAGTCATCTCGGAGGCTCGACTCGCAGCCTCTTGTCGCTTAAAGCCGGCGGCGAGAGGGCCTGTGCTTCGTGCCATACAGGCATCTCTGCAAAGTCTATGTTTTATGCTCTCAGTGTGGAGCTTTATAGATTCATGTTTGAAGTTTGAACACCCTTTTGCAAATTTTGTGTTTCCTGCGCTAGCTCCACACTGTGTACAATATACACAATACATTTCATTACTCTCTTTTTTGTACCTTAGCCACTCAAATTCTCGCAGCCATTGTGTA